GAGTAGGTTCTTTTACCTTTTTTGAGTCTGTGTGCTCTAGTAAACGATCAATTACTAAATGAGTTGATCATTTATAATTGATTCATCACCATTAATGATTCTGTCTTAGCCATGTCGCAGCCTACACAATAAGGGAAAATGTCAACACTACAGTTGTCCAACAGATCCTCCTCAACAAGGTAGTTAAGCCAAAAAAAGGTCAATAAGTTGGCCGTTTACAGAGTATTCAAACTAATTTGAAAGTTTAGTGGAAGGACAAAGTATGTAAAAACGGGGATAGCTCCAATCACATGGATTCACATTGAATGCAGTGTAAATGCAGCACTTACTCATTGAGTCATTAGAAATGATCATTACATTTAACAAACCTGTTGAGCTCAAATTAAATGTTTAAATATGAATCAGTTCACTTTCTGTAACGAGTCTTCTCTCCTAGATGTTTATTTCAAAACTGTGCAGCCAGAATATTAACCACTTTACACAGAAATCAAGCACTTTTCAAACCTTGAAAACATCTAATTGAAATTTTCAAGGATTTCAAGCACCTGATTAAATGTGTATACTGCCGACTTACTTTTCATTACGTTTGCATTTCAGTGTTAAAATCATTTCATTGAGCAGTTTGTTCCCAATAAACTGAACCAACAGAAATAAACACTTTAAATATACAGCTCTCGTTTTTATTAGCATCTGGTAAAACGAAGGTAGCTCCGTCTTCTTCTTCTTCTGCGTATTAAAGTGACTCCATGTGGATAATGCAACAAAAACAGTGAAAAACAAGGAGTGAAGGTGTTACCATAAATAACGGAGTCGTTTGCTTGTTTAGGAAAAGCTGTCGGCCACAAAGTTGAATCTGCAGAAAAACAAATATGTTTATGAAACAGAACATATTGTGACAGAGTATCTGTTTGCTGTGACAGGAAAAAGCAGTAGTTTGGTAACTATCTGTTAAAAGCCGAATACTCACTCCGCGTCACAGCTTGCTGTGTAAACGCGCTTGATGAGTTCAGATCTGTACCTGGAAGATAAGGGAGCTCGTTAAAAATGTCAGAAAACACAATCTCAATGAACAAGGGCTACTTGTGTAACAACCCATCATGTTGTGATAATCTAATCTGATTATTTTGGATTAGGACTGTAACATAAGGCATTGTTCACTTAAAAAAAGAAAATATTATGCATGGGAAAAGTTTATCTTTTCCATTTGAGTGTAGAAGTTAATTCTTCTCTCTCGTTAAGAGTTTACTAAAATACATAAACAGATTTTTTATTTTCTCTGAATATTTCAGAGAGCAGCAGAATTTCTGGACAATAATCAGTAAAATATGTTTTATATACCTGAAGGTGTCAGACTGGTTCTAATTGTTATTTTATATTCATATGCATTTTCAATTTGAAGGAGATGGAAATTGTGGCAGAATATTAAGGCCAGTGTAGATGACAAGCAGAAAATAATGGGGTTAGGGAGTAAATAAGGAGCAAATTACTGTCAAAAATCAAACATTTACCTTACATATTTACAAGAAAAAAAAGTTTTTTGATGTAGAAACATCAAACTTACAAAAAAGAGATAATTTCCATAATTAAAGGCAGATACTATCAATTAGCATATTCTATGAACATTTTTACTTCAAAATGTCAGAACATAATAGTTTTAATGTGAAAATGTCTTTAATCCTGGAAAATTATCCTGTTTTTTAAATGACTGACAGAATGTCCCAGTTTTTCTTGTAAATATGGGAAATTAATCTAGAAATGTCAATTTTTTGGTGGCCACATTTCTTACTTTTTATGTACACTGACCCTAATAAAATTATTTTGGCTATATTTATCACAATAAATATTTTATTTCTGACTGCTGACTTTTACAAAAATATATAGTAATTTCTAAAAGTTAATGTTTTTGAATTGTTTCAGTATTAAATCCTAAATATCTTTGAAGATCAATGCGTTTACCTGTCATTTGTTATTATATATGATTTTCTAATGTTGCCTGGAGGAACTAATATGCTGCTTTCTGAGTTTCACACCAGAAAAAAAAATCCCTCCTGAAGTCTAAACTCTGACCAAAAGCTGCTAGAATAATTTTATTTGAATTTCTGACTGCTACCATCTGCAAATTTGTGCGTGGTTGTTCGTCAACAGGCTGCGCCACACCTTTAAACCAAACAGCTTTTTATTTCCTATTGGAGTTACAAGAATTTCCAACAAAAACTTAGAATTATCTAGAAAAACATATTTCAGTTATAAATGTGACCTTTGGGCCAAAATAAAAAGTTCTAGGCAATTTCCCACTGCGGAGGGTGTATTCTGCTATATTATAAGTCAACTATTGTATTAGTTATTTGCTTGTTGAATATTTCATGACATTGTTTTAAAAGTTCAGTGATTTTCAGTCCTAGGGGTAAATTGATAGATGGGCATTACTTTTATTTTTTTCTTAAGGTGCCAGTCACAGTCTGATAAATAAAACCGGGTCGATATTAAATATTTGTTTTCATCTTATTTGTTTCCCAAAATGTGTCAAAATAGCTGAGAAATATAAGTAATATCAGGAAATATCCGTTTTAATAGCAGTAATATTAAATATCGACCCAAAATTTTATATCCACACAGCCCTAATTTTTACTAAATAATATGTTGCTTTAATTTATTCAAGTCCTGATATATTTTTGTTTTTCTTTTACACTATAAAACACATGCGCTCCCATAGCTGTTTAGTTATTTTTTCAAGAGGATCTCAAGACTCAAAATGGAGTCCCAACCCAAACTTTGGGAGTCAACAGTTTGCTTATGCCTTTAACAACATTCCTAAACTTAATACTCACTAAATCTTAAAACGAAGCAATACGTTTAATATATGCACAATTTAATCAAAATGTGAACTTACTATTCATTGTGAATGCTGGGTGAGTTTGGCTACCTGAAAGAAAGGCACAAATTAAACAAACATTGACAGTTTCACCAACAGTTTACTTGAATTTTTAACAAGTTGAGGTGTTCAAACAAACATTTCCTGCTTTACAACCAGCACACTTCACCAACCAGCTGAACTTCTTTGTTAAACGAATGACCTTTAAAAAAAAGCCAAACCACTTTCACACCAGCTTTCACTGCGGTCCGTTCACTTGTCTGACCAGAAAGCGGACTGACCTCCATAATTTAATAAAACCAGGCCGTCACACAAAGCTCTCCCGCCTCCCATTCAGCAGTTAATCAATCAGACATTGTTCCACCGCAGCTGTTGTTTGGACTTACTTACCTGAGGGCGCAGCAACAGCTGTGGAGCAACCGCGACACGAAACCTCAACAACGGACCAAACAACTTCTTTTTACGGCGGGTAAAACAAGAAAAACAAAGAGCAAACACTCTCTGTTGTTTTTCCGGGGTTTAAGGTTTTAACTCCACCAAGTGAAACTTAACTGCGTGGGTGAAATACAGTAAGAGCAGACAGTTTCTGAAGACTCGTGAGTCGGGAGGGAGACACTCGCCGTTTCCGCCCCTCCCTTTCCTCTTCTACTGCCTCAGAGATCCTCTATGAAACAGATGCGCGACTCTGTTGGTTAAAATGCGACCCAAAAAGTGAACCCGGAAGTGGCGCTGCTCGATCCGACGGTCAAGTTGTTGTGGCCTATCTGAATGAATGAATGAATGATACCATTGAAACACCTTCTAATCTTTTATACAAGTACCTTTAAGAGTAAGTACAAGAGTAATACGACTCACTAATTTGGTTTTCTTGTATGAATGTCGGTCATTTTTTACTTACACACTGCATTTCTAATTTATATTCGTCTTTAAATGTATGAGTCTTGGGGACAAACAATAATCTGGGCATTTCCATGGTATATTTCTATGAATAAATGAACATGATTTCTTCAGTTCATGGTGAAATTGTACCCAAGGACAATCCAGACTTAATTTGATATCATCTGATTTATTTTGATGTTTCCATTATGCCATACAAGGAAGCCGCGTGTTTCAGGTGTGTTTTGTTGTTTTCCAATTAAAATATGTATAATTATTAATTCAAATCTTAAAATAAACCAGAATTTGCATTTTAAGACTCACAATGCCTTGTTTAGCTTGACACACATTTCAGTTTGAAGCATTTTCATCTTTCTAATTGGTTCTGTCAAACTCCAGATGTACACTGAATAGAGAATCTGTGACAACATTAAGTTTGAGCAATTACAGCTTTATTTCTTGTTCATGCTTAGCTGCAGAGAAAAATTTAAACCCTGTATTGATTCTCATCATTAACTACTCAATTATGTCCAGATTTGTGTTATCTATCAGCAAGGTTGCAATAAAAACATAAAAATTAGTGGTTGCAATGTAACCAAAATGTGAAAAGTTCAAGGTGTATACTTTACATGAATTACACAAATTTAAAAACCAATTTCAACTCTTATTAAGCCAAACACAACACATAAAGATGCACTGCAAACTCTAACTTATTAGATTTTTTAGTAATAAATGTTAGAAATATTTCTACGTATCATTAAATGTGTAAGATGTTATTAATCCCTGACAATCTTGACTCATCATGCTTTGGTTTTGGCCTTCCAGTTAGTAAAAACATAAAAATTATCAGTTTAGTTCAGTTTCTTCTAATAAGAGAAGCTAAGCACAATGTGCTACCTTGTGCATTTATACTAATAAACTGTTTATTCAAGAACACTTTCTGTTTGGTTTGTTTTTATTAAAATGAGAAGCTCCTTCTGGGACAAACTTGATTTGATTGAAAGATAAATGAGAAAACTACCAGAAACATCAGTCATTAAACAACAGTTGGACTCGTCTGCCCGGCTGTCTTCTTCCTTTTTATTTTTGCCTCTTGACCAGCTGTCGTTTTCAGTCTTCTGTTCAGGCAGAAGGGGAAAAAAGACGTCAAATACTAAAAGTAAGGTGCAACGTGAATTTATGAAATAAAAGAAGCAAACCTGTTTCTTTTCTAAAGTGTGAAACCTTTAAACCGTTGTGGTCTTTGAGTCGTGGGGCGCTTGTTTTTCTCCAGCACCCTCCTAAAGAGAACAAGAGTTATAACATGTAGGAACAAACCAGAAATAGAACCAGCATGCCTCAGCTGCGAGATAATTAGGAGACCAACCTTCTGAGGAATGCGCAGGTTGCTGGTGTCAGAGTTCAACGCGCCGACGTCGCCGTTCTTTAGACCGTTTGCTTTCTGTGAGTCAAGGGTCGCAGAGGTTTCTTCTTCTTTTTCTTCGATGTGCAGCGTTTCGCTTTGGGCTGCGGACAGCTGCAGCTCCAAGCTCTCCGACTCGCAGGAGTTGTTCAGTTCAGAGCTGCTCTCACTTGGTGGAGCTTTTTCTCCATCTTTTTTATCTTCTACCTCTTTGGAGCTCTTCCCCTCTTCGGCCTGACCGCTGGCTGCTCCGGACTTCTCTTTCCCAGATGTTCCCGCTGCGGCTTCCTCCTGCGCCACAGAGCTTCGGTTCTCGGAGTGGCAGGAAGTCGTGTCCAGCTCTCTGGATTCGGTCAGGCTCCTGTTCAGGGTGGACGACCGAGAGGAGAAGCCGAGTGTGCTGCTGTCTCTGGACAGAGTGCTGTGGCGCGGTTTATCCGGAGACTTGAGACTGGACCGCAGGCTCATTCTGGGATTGTAGGTCCGGTTAAATTCGGAAAAACTGGCCTTCCAGGCCCTGGGGGACAGCAGAGTCCGTCTCTTCAGGGAGCCATACCTGAAATAATTTACGGGAATGTGACAACTTTTTATATCTGCAGTGTCTGCAAAGGTTTCATAGCCAAACCTTTTTTAAATTTTATTAAGTTAAAGCCACAAACATGAATTGGTTTTATTGGGAATGCATGAGAAAGATCAGGAAAAGTAAATTAATGCATCGATTTCAACAATTATGAAAAATAAAAATCTGACAATTGTATGTGTGCTCATCTTCCTCTGAGTTAAAGGTGACCTATTGTTCTTCCTTGAATATTTTAGGGTAGGTCTATGGGCTACACAAAACGTTTTCATAATTTTTATTTTAAATTTTTTTGGCAAATCATTCTTGTATAATGACATTTTAGTCTGTTCTGATTGTTCAGATTTAGCTACTTTTGGGGCATCTTGTCACTTTAAATCCAAATAAGCTGCTGGCCAAACTCAATGTTTTCACTCACATGTGAAAATGGCTGAAAACAGATGCATAATTATACAACTGTAAATCTTTGAAAAGCAGAAGTGGAGCCTCCTGCGCACCAGAAAGTGGTTTCTAGATGCTAAGTCAACAACAAAATACTTGTCTTTTCCAGCAGCCATTGCACTGCAGAAATACTAAATCTTACTATTTTTAGTCTAATTTCTTCTGCAAATATCTTAGTACACTTGAAATAAGGCAAAACTAACTTACAAGTAACTTTTCAGCAAGATGTAGAAGCTTGTTTTAAGTAAATAATTCTTTAATTTTGATGAAAACTAGTCCTATTGGCAGATATATTTACTTATAACAAGACAATTTGCCCATGTTAAGTGAAAATAATCTGCCAGTGGAACTCATACTTTTTCAATAAGATGACAAAATGTGAAAAATTCATGGGATATTAAAACTTTTGCAAAGCAAAAATTGCATCTTAAAAAAGTTCCAAGAAAAAACAGCATATTTTTCTGATCCATTACAGCTCAAAAAACCTCCAGCTGTGATGAATACATGTGAAAACCTTCTGTTTTTATTATTTTTATCAACTGTATGTAAAGCCTAGAGGGGGAAACCTACCTCTGCAGCCCCCTCACAGAAAACGTTTTGTCAGGATGCTGAGCCTGCAGCTCTTTTATCACACACTGCAGATCAAGATTGAGCTGAAAGAGGACACGGTGGTCAAAACAAGAAAATCTGTCCACGTTATAATCGTATTTCACTTCAAGGCGAGACATACCGTGCTCATTTCCTTATAGAAGATGTCTCGTAAATTAGACACAGCTGAGAAGACAGCCACGTAACATCCGATGCGGCTACAGGGAGAAAAACACACAATTAATTTAAAAAGATGTGAAAGAGGAAAGAGAAATTTAACATTACAAAGAAAGCTATCGGACCTGTCATAGAGGACAGGCAGCTCCTCTTTCAGCTCATTGTTGATCCCGTCATAGATGTTTTTGGCAGCTAGCATCTCTTCCTTTGCCTGCAGAGTGAAAGGATGTATATTTAAGCAGATGCAGGCACATGAAAAAACCTTCTAAGATTTTTAATACTCTTTCAAAGACCTTGCTTATCTTGATATCGTCCCTCTTCTTGGCGGTCTGCAGAGACTCCAGGGTGTGAAGGGACGAGTCGTAATCCACCCGTTTTCTTCCCCTCTTGGCAATTTTCTCCTACGAGTTAAAAAGTAGATTCATGGAAATGTGAATTTGTTCTCACGCTTTTGTTTTGTCCGCATGTTCAGCTCTGTTTCCCTGCATTACCCGAATATCTGGGAACTGTCCCACGTAGGACTCCATGGTGCGGACGACCTGGTCCAACATCTTCACCTCGTGGTCGTTCCACAGGAGGTCCTCGCCCTTCATTAACCGGCGTAAACATTACTTTAATTATTCACTAAAGCTGCAATATGTAACTTTTATAAAGAATATATATTTTTACATATTTGTTAAAACTGTCACCATGAAGGATAGTTTGGTACAAGATGGATAATCTGTAAAAAGATCAATCTCCTTCACTTCTTCCCTGAGCTATTATCGCCATCTGAAGAAATGCACCGCTCCCGATCAAAAACAACCAATCAGAGCCAGGAGGCGGGTCTTAATACTGTCAATCAATGGCATGTACTCGCTGCTAAATGTTCTTATGGCTGAGAAACAACAACTTACAGTTACAGGAAAGCCGTTTATCTGCCGTCATATGTGGCTATGCTAGCTAGCACTAGCATTCTCAAAATGCTATGCTAGCTGCAGCGTAACAGCAAGAGGGGAGAAAACCGTGGAATAAGCAGCATCACACCAGATTGTGATTGACAGCGCTAAAAACCACCACAAAGGACTCATAATTGTAAATTGGAGGAAAAATGAAGCATAGTTGTTTTGGATATTTTTTACCATTTATTATAAGAAAAATCTGAAAATTGTGTTGGGAGTTTATATTCAGAAATACTCAACATTTTGTGAAACCACTCCAGGCTCTGATTGGTTGTTTCCAGTTAGCACTGGGAGCACTGGGAGAAAGCAGAGGAGCTTGATTTATACCATACTGCCATGGCATAATGACAGTTTC